GGTCCGAAATGTACATCCACTAGCCGATAATAAAAATAATAAACAAGCAGGTAAGTTAAGACTTCTCATTTCTATTATCCGTAAAATACGTCATATACAGTTAAGAATCCGCGTTTTTATTCGTAAATTTTCATCAGACGATAGCTCCAATCTCTTTCTCTTCAAAGTTTACCGGTTGCACCTAAAAGTACAATTGGACTACATTCTGCAATTTGGAAATGTAAATTTCGGCTCATCTGAAAAAAACACTTATGTGCATAGGGAACATAATGGCACCTACGCCGTTTTTAAACCGGGCCAGAACTTACAGCTCCTAATTGCAAAATGTAGTCCAATTTTCACTGTGAAACCTTGCTGACCGCTAAGCGATTTTCCGTTACCTATCACGCGTTCCGTTGAAGATACATTTTAATGCCTAAGGCTGGCTAACACTGGAAAAAAAACACATTGGATCTAAAGCCCAGACTCTTAAAAACATCGACAAGAAAAAGTACTCTTGATTCAATCAGATTTAAGCTTAAATTAAGAAGCAAGCCTCTTAATTTGAGCGGATTTCCTTTCGATTTAAGCTTAAATCTGATTGAATCAAGAGTCCTTTTTACTGTCAATGTTTTCAAGAGTCTGGACTCTAGATCCAATGTGTTTTTTTTTCCAGTGAAGCTATTAAAGATATCAACGGTGAAACTACCAAACCACGTATCTCGGTTTGCGACGTCGCAGACTTCCTGTCATTCATTATTTTTTAAATGAAAAACTACTTAACGTCTAGTCTTGAAAATTTCTGTGATTTTTCCTCTTTGTGCGGAGAAAATTCTGTGAAAATCTCAAGGAATGATATTGATTTTGTCTACTTCAAAAAAATAAAATGCGAGCGTAGATTTTTAAACACCGCAAACGAGATACGTGGTTTGGTAGTTTCACCGTCGATATGGTAAATGGTGTATCAAATAGCAGTCTAAAAGCCAAAAAATATTTGACATTTAGCTCGACTTTGGCTTTTCGCTCGTTTGATTTGTCATTTACCATTCCCTTGTAGACTTGGCACTCCGGTCGTTGCAGTTTCCACCGGCGAATCCGGGCCGGCTCATCCGATGCTATTTATGTAATCCCTCCTTCGGAGAAATCCATTTTAAATATTCTCCAAGTTTCCACACTTAACCCTCAAAATTTAACTTTAACGAGTTCATAATTAACCGGAAGTTGCGCTCGACCGAATACATCCGAAACTTCCGCTCACGAATTCGCGGATCCGCAGGTGACGCCAACACTACTCCGGCAAAACCGCTTATCCTCGCTTTACTTTCCGTCGGATTTGCGCGTTTTCTGCCGAGAACGGAGGTGCGTGACTCGGTCGCATCAACCCTCGCTGCGGATAACGTGCATTATCACTCACGCTCCTTGCTGCGCTGCTGTGAAGGAAAACGGCGTATGGACATCCGAGCGTTGCCAGGTTTACCTCGAAAATGTTTTTATTATTGAAATAATGGAGAATTTGCACGCCAATGGAGATGTTGCACGTGTGTGAAATTCGCGATTTGACTGTTGATTCTATCGTAAAAGTTCGCGAGAAACACGATGGTGCCACTGGTTTTCTCTGAAATCAACTCCCAAGCTCAAAATAAGCTCTCAAGTTGAGGCCAAAATGGAGGGGATATCCCACGCTATCCTGAGAGTCCACCTCTACATCAAGACAAACTCCATGCAAAGATAGGGAGCAAATGCTTTGACAGGGCTGCTACTTTATTTGGGGACTCTAAAACTGGAAACACGGCAACCCTGCTAATGTATTTGCTCCTTATCTTTGCATGGAGAGTTTGTCTTGATGTAGAGGTGGACTCTCAGGATAGCGTGGGACATCCCCTCCATTTTGGTCTCAACTTGAGAGCTTTTTTTGAGCTTGGGAGTTGATTTCAGAGAAAGCCAGTAGCACCAACGTGTTTCTCGCGAACTTTTACAGGAGAATCAATAGTAAAATCGCAAATTCCTCACACATGCAACATCTCCATTTTCTTATTTCTTCGTCTGAGAGTGCTTGAGGAGCTGGTCTCGCAGTATTTTTTATAATTTTTGATTTTGAAACGAGAAATAGTATAAAATTAGATTTAAAATTGAGAAAACGTCATATGACGGCATTTCCCACTTAAATACATGTAATTTAACGGATTAAATCATTTCGACGTATCTCCTCCAATAATTATTCGATGTATGAACCAAAAGTATCCTCGTGCTAAGTTTTCTCAGAAGTTTCTACTTAAACGAGAAATTCATCAAAGTTCAGACATCCGCGAATTCTCTCTTCACGAGTATTTTCCTTCAAAATTTTCAGATGTGCAAAATTACATGAATGACGAACGAAACTCAATGGAAGTTTTGATGGAAAAAATCCTCGATACCTCCAGAATATTAGTTTTAATTAGAGGAAATTTGGCTGCGCTTGAATGTTTTTAGAGCGTTTTACCTCAGCACGGGAGAAAGGAACAATAATGGTTGGTAATAACTTATGTCTCTCGGAGTCGTTTGTCTGTGCGCTTACGAATGATTGTAAGCGCAGCATCTGGTAAGGAGCATTGTGCAACGATTATTACTCCTGGATGAGTTTGGAGCAATGGTAGCAAAACTCATTGACTAATACTCAAGAATGGACTCATTAATGCAAAAAAAGTATATTTTTACTGGAAAAATTAAGAAATATCCTATGTATAAGAGGAATATAAATGCTCATAGAATTCGAGTTTTGGGGGCTGGTTCAGACAGATTTTTATCCTTAAAAGATACCCAAAACTGAGGACGAAAAGGTGGAACTGACTCAACAACAAGCAAAAAGGAGGCTTTTCCCAGGTAGACTTGTATCGTGTAGAGCTGCTCCAACTGAACCATAATTTTTGCAATTAGGAACTAGCACTATGGTTGAATACCATCTTTGATTCTTAAATTACCTATCTACTCGCACATAAGGGAACCAATGGGGCATACGTTGTTTCTAAATTGAACTAGAAATGATAGATCCATATTGCGAAAATGAAGTTCAATTGAGGATTACCTACCTTGGTAAAAATTGGCAGTAGAATCTGTGTTCCAAAATACTATAGACCTACAGCCGGCTGTAAGATTTCCAATAGCTTCTATAGCCGGCCACACAATTTCTAATCGCCTTTTATAGCCGATGGCGATTAAGCAACAGCCAGGCGATAAAGTGTATGCTAAACTTTACTAATTACGGATGCTAGGACTTAGTGAGTTTTTTGAACACTGCTCTCTTTTTGGGTCATAGTATCTTGATTTATTTTGTGAGGAAAGCTCCGTACTTTAGATGGATGCCTGCCATTACTAATATATTAGAGCGCCTTCAGTTTCGTATGATACTGTGCAATACCTCTGGTGTGAAAAAGTTGCTTCAAGCGCCGTGGCAGGCGAGCAGCCAGCGCGAAACACGCATTGGCGCCTACAAACCTAGCAGGGATACTTCACGCGTTGCGCAATGCGTGAAGTATCCCTGTTAGGTTTGTAGGCGCCAATACGTCGCCGCTCCGCTTTGTGTTAGGCTCTAATATTTAATCTGGCGATTATTCAACTCATGATTTTGAAATGTTTGCACATCCTGTATGGATTATTCTCATTTCAATTGATAAAACAAAATATGTATTAAAGGAAAATATAATGTGTGTTTTGCAAATATTAAGGTGGCTCCGTATCAAACTTAATGATTTCCAAAACACACGAATTTCTACATAATTTCTTATATCCTTTTATAATCGATGGCGAAAAAGCAACAGTCAGGCGATAAAGTGTAAAGCCCGGCGATAAAGTGTAAAGCCCGCGATAGGAACTATAGCCCGGCTCATAATTTTTTATCGCTTCGTATAGCCTGGCCGTATGATTTTCTCCGCATTCTACAGCCAGCTATATGATTTTCTGTAGCCTTCTTTAGCCGGCTATAAGAATTCCTGTGGTATTTTGAAACGCAGCTCTTATCGCCAATTTTTACCAGGGTAACTGAAAAGAAGTCCATCTGCAGGAGAGTTAGGAACTATTAACTGACTGCAGCTTTTGATGGACTCTTGATTGTCATGGAAGGAGACACAATGGAGGCACACAATATTCACGAAGTGAAGATTATCCAAGGAGCCAAGGATGACATACGTTTTTTCCCTTCCTGAATGCATTCATCCGATTTTGCGGAGTTCAAGGCATTGTGCTTTAATTTCATTCTCCTTATCTTCATGTTCTCCAACCTTTTTCAAACACTCTGCTTCTCTATCTCAGCAAGGCATTCAAAAAAGCAAAGATTGAGTAGACCTTTTTTGAAATAATACCATGGCTTATCATGTGACCGTCTACTTTATTCTCCAGATTCAGACGTTCGTTCCTCGCACCAAAAAAGAGGACGAATTGATGAATCTTATAGTCCATAGGTATAAAATTATTCTTCCGTCAACAAACAAAAATTATAGGATAAAATATTCCAACTAATCTTCATGGAAAAATCCTCAGTTTATAAAGAACAATGCAAAGTGATGTAGCAATCTTCAAAGTTTTACTTCACCTTGGAAACTGATGTAAACCTGACCAGACGCAAAGCAACACTCACGTCTGTTGGCGGCACAAATCTTTGCTCCTCTGACGTAAGAGCGTTGCTAAATTTGATGTGTTTTATGCTAAAAGGAACTATATGCATAAGGTTTGCGCGAGGCATAGTTCTTTTCAGCATAAATTCGTTCGATTTCCACATGAGCCCTCTTCTACATATAAATCCATACTTTTGGGGGGTCATACGGAAATCGAGTTATGCGCTTTTACGTCAGAGGGGGGCCAAAATGTGTAACAAACATTCGAACACTTCTCCCAATGAAAGAATCTGGCATTAAGGCCCAGAATCTGTGCTCAACTAGAAAATGAAGATTTTTAGGTTTTATTTTTTCTCTCATGAAATGTTTTGTGTCAATGCTACTCTTGTAACTTGAAGAATCAACTCAATTTTCTGATTACATTTACTTCCTCAGGTAATCGAAGGACAGCCTCAGTCCGATCGGTGGGGTATAGTGACCTGTTCGTGCTGTCAAAAAAGGACATGTGGGATGTCTTGAAAGAATATCCAGCCGCCAGGGTCAGACTGGAGGCCATTGCTGTGAAAAGGCTAGAAAAATATAAGCGAGCGCCACTGGAGAAAGGTATGCGTATCTTATTTCTAATTCACACCCTGGATAACATTAACAAAAACTGAAAATTCATCACTTAATGTAGTACGAGCTTAAAAACTGTACGTTTTGTGAAAGTGCGCACAAGATGGAAATCTATGGTGAAACTGCAGAAGTGTGACTTCCTGTCGTACTGTATAGTCCACATGGAAAACTTCTGAACGCCATTTTTTGAAAATTTCATTTTCTTCTCTTTACAAAGAATATTCTTCAAGCCATGATCTTGGTTCGGTCTCCTCGTAGAAAATAAAGTAGAAGCGGAGATTTCGAAACACCGCAACCAAGATAGGTGCACATTTTTGCAGTTTCACCGTCGAAATTCATCAATACCGTTTGGAAAACATTGAAAAGTAGCCCATGAAATTTTATTTTTGAGGACGTACCTATTCACTTGATTGAGTAAATATCAATAATTCAGTGTTGAAGGTCGAAAGTCAAATCAGGTATATTGGCTAATCCCAAGGCAATGTATGTAATTCTCTTTTGATTGGAGCTCTGGATCTGTCACCAATTTTTGATGCGACAACGCTGTGGTAATGCATGTACAAATTCTTAGTGAAAATTTTAGAGAATTATAGTGATGGACCAGATTTTTAGCTCTTGAATGAACGTGTCTCTCAAAATTTTGAAAAACTTTATGAAGTGCAGATCATTTAAAATATTGACAAGTAAACGAGTCTTTGAACAAAATATAGAACTGCAGGTGACTCAGCAATTCTGCAGTGTGTGCCCTGTTAAATAACAGCGAGCAGATCTAGAGATTCTTACCTACGATAGTCGCAATTCTCATGACAATTGTTCCACCGGATCTTTATAATCAATTATCATTTAAACCTAAAATCTCTAGGTCTGCAAATGGCTGAAAAATAGTAATGAGAATAAAATTCAAGGAAAGTATACAATCTAATCATGTTCACTTTCAAGACGTGAAAAGCTTAAGAACTCTCATCGAAGAAAGAGGAAAATTCTGTGATTCTTGAGCAACTTTCTAGGCATTCGATAGAATACCCGATTTGACTTTTTGTCGGGGACATCTCTAAGTAAATTTACAGCAGTGGCGTGGCGTGCTTTGCGATATATCAATCGATCTGCCATTTAAACTCATGAAAACGATCGATAAACAGGCCGTCCGTAACGTACACCTTAATAATCGATTCTTTACCGTACATTCAAATGAGGAAATATCGATAATCGATCATTCACGCCACGCCACTGATTTACAGCCTCTAATTCCAGTAAGAGAGTTGAACAGGAGGTGTAGAATCATTTGCACAAAAAAATTCCAGTTGTTTCTAAAGAAATTCCAATGGTCTGAAAAATAATTACATTTCAAACAAGTACTTCATTTCTTCTGAAAATAACTCAAATTGAAACAAATAGATTTTTTTGGAAGAATACACGCAATAGGAGCTCTTCTTGATTAAAATAGAAAATGTCCTTGATGTTCTGACAAATAATTACATTTCAAACAAGTACTTCATTTCTTCTGAAAATAACTCAAATTGAAACAACTAGATTTTTTTGGAAGAATACACGCAATAGGAGCTCTTCTTGATTAAAATAGAAAATGTCCTTGATGTGCATGCAACTATATCCGGAGATTTTTCATTTACGACCGTGTTCAGCTTTGTCAAAATGTTCTGAAATTAGTACTGCTTCTGGTCTGTGATCGTCTGTGTGGTTTTTTTTGTGTGTGCACTAAAAACCTGTGTGTTGTCAGAAAAAAAAAATTGTCGTTCGAAATAACAAGTCACAAGTAACAAGTCAGCAAATCTGTTAGGACATCTCGTTTGGATGGAATCATCTACTCTATAGTCAGATTTTTGTTTGAACAATGGAATCCTGTAGGCTAAAAAGTTAAATTTTCGAAAATTCCAGTGCGCTCCCTGTGTCTTGCTTGTGAACTCGAAGAGGACACTTGTGGCGTGGGGTTTATTCGTCGCCCTTTGCTCAACTTTTCAAATCGTTCCAAGGTATAGCACATTGAATAAAGGGCAGAAATGCAACTATTCGTGCTCCAAGGATGTCCTTCTTGCATACGGAACAGATTGAAGGCGTTTTATCCTTGTCGATCTCGGCATGAAGCTGCGCACGGTGCAAGATGAAGGGTAAGGCCGCGAGGAAAGTTCCGCCCCATCCCCCGTGAGATGCTGACGTTGTCGGACAAACCACCTTTCCGCTTCAAGGTTAAGGGCATTTAATTATAGGTCGGCAGCTCTTGAACCAGAACCGTCTATAGGTTTCCCTCCCGCGGAATTTATCGTTGTCAATAAAACTCCAACGCTCTCTCCCACGGTGAGCGAGATAAATAAACTCTGGAGGAAAGTGAGCGCTCCCGGAAACGAGGGCTCTTAAAAGATGTTGTCTTAAATGCTGCGCACAGGGCCTGGCTCTCTTATGACGTTTGTTCGGAAGCAAAGATATGAAGACTGGGAATGGGCCTGTCGCAAACTTTTTTCGGAACAAAAATAAGAGTTGTTCCCTATGGATAATGTCTCAAAAATCACGATAAGCGCATCGGCAAACTCTGAAATGCACTCCTAACTTCACAATCTGTGTAAGAAACTTGCGTTTTTTCAAGCCGCTTTAAAAATGATACTACGGCACTGGTAAACATTTCGTAAGAGGAGTCGTTCCATTCAATCCCTGCTCAACATGACCGACGCTTCCGCGCGCAAGTTGAGGAAAGCACGAGGTCAATCAAGGCGGATATCTATCAACGCGAGAAAAATGTGAATTAAACACGCCGATTGTTATCATAGAATCATTGTCCCGTCACATGTGTTTTGGCGGATTGGCGTCAACTATGTTGAATATTGCGCAGTATCCTCGTGAGCAAGGATTGGATGGAATGACTCCTCTTACGGAATGTTCACCTGTGCCGTGGTATCCTTTTTGAAGCGGGAAGCTCGAAAAAACGAAAATTTCTCTGGCAAATTGTGAAGTGAGGAGTGCATTTCAGACTTTCCCAATGCGCTCATTGTGATTTTTGAGGCTGTTTCCATGAGTAACAGTTCTTATTTTTTCTCTAGCAAATGTTTGCAACAGGCCCATTGTTGTTTCAAATATGTCGTGCGTGCTGATTTTAGCGCATTACATACTTGACTCCTCGAAGGCGTTTAATTTGCGAGAGTAGAGCACCCAGTCGGAAAAGAACAGAAGTGAGATTGAACGAATCGATTAATCCCTACTTTGTTCGTTCTCAGACAGATCGCGCTACTTATACACAAAAAACGCCTTCAGAGAGTCGAGTATGTAATGACCTGTAATCAGCACGCGCAACATATACGTAGCAACAATTGCTGCAGACGCAGCAGAAGGCAAATCGTTCAGTTAAATAAAAGAGTATGATAGGAAGTCTGCATGTAACGAAAGGGTATATATTCGATCGAAATGAATAGAACGAAGAATAAACACGTGAATCGATCAACACAGATTCCAAGGGCAAATAAATAAAAACGCTCATCAAAATCAGTAGAAAACTTGCATTCACCGTGAACATTTCAAATTGCGGTATCTCGAAACTAAGATTAGCCAAGATTTTGCTTTTCCGCGATTGTAAGTTCACACGTGCCATAGACTCACCCCTGCAAACAGGTTTTGGGTGCATTCATGTCTTTTTTTTTAAGTTTGAGTTTAAGTTTGAGTAAGAGGTTTTTTCGAGGATCGGGGTAAGTCAGGGAAAAGTCAAAATATTAAATGAAAGCGAGAGGAAAGTGCGGAAATTGGGAAAGGAAGAAGTTATGGAAAGGCTGCAGGTGCTGGAGACATTGGCGGATCCATCGAATTGGCAACATTGTTTTTCTACGTATAAACCTATGGAAATGTACCATAGAGTACATAGAGTCGTAATGTAAATGGGAGAGCTGGCGCCATGTTCTGCTCGACGAGTTCCGAGCCCAGTGTGCGCCGAGTTCGGGTCACTTTTTCGATACATGTTCGATCCAAAATGGCGGTGTGGAATACGTCGTGATCCCTTTCTTCTTCGTTTACATCGGATGGCCGGGTACCCGTGTATCGCAAACAATCGATTATGTATCGAAAAAGTGACCCGGCGTCACACAGGAGTCTCGGAATTCGGGACCTCGTCAGCTTCCAGGCAAAGTATCACAAGCGCCATGCGACGTTTAAAAATTTCCGCCGCCATTTTATTTTTTTACAGAGAAATTGTTCAACGAAGCTGTCCGAAAATTTCACTGAATTTTCTTTGTGCTGCCGATAAAATTTAGTGAAATCTCCAAACAGATTCAATCAACAATTTCTCAGTAAAGAAATAAAATGGCGGCGGAAATTTTTAAACGATCGCATGGCGCTTGTGATACTTTGCCTGGAAGGTGACGACCCGGAAAATGCTTAAAAGTGGTGCCAGCTCACCCACTTACATTACGACTCTATGTACTCTATGAAATGTAGCGATTCTTGAAGGGGCCAGATGCTCCGACGAGAAGCGATTAGTCAACATAGGTTTAAATAGAGGAAACCCGATGTTGGCAAATAGCTGAATGCGCTTGAGAATGACGGAAGATTTGGGTATCTTGGCGAGGTGAGTAAGGTTGAGGGCACGTTCTGTGGACGTTTGCACGCTGTGTTTTGGTGTTGGGTGTTGTTGAGTGTGGATCCTTGGGCGAACCTGACTGACTCGTGTTGTTTCTCTCTGTTCCCGTTTTCCTCCTAACTAGATCTTTTTATTACAACAGCGGCGATGGGTCGGAGTCAGTCGACGCCCGGGCTCCTGGAGACGCGCGGGCGGGTCCCGCTCGAGGACATGTGGGTCTCCCCGGTCTCGGTTGAACCTTTGCTCAAAGGCGTCATGACCTCTCACTACGCCAACTCTGGGTTCAGCCCGGCCCCGAGCCCCACCTGCAGGTACCCCACCACCACAGTTCTCTCCCCACGAAAACATTTCTCTCCAGCTCCACCCCATTTTCCCATGGGATCCCATTCACCAAGAAGGAACCAAGAGCGTGGACCACTAGACAAGGCACGAATTTCAGCTTTCTGATACATGCGTCGTAACTAAAATTTCACGTAAAACACGATGCGCACAGAAAAAATTACCGCAATTAACTCCTTACACGGATATTTCATGATTCTTGATGCGTGAATTCAAACCACCCGCTCATGAAAACTCAATGCTCTACGTGATTCACATCGCGCGCTAAACATTATCATGACAGTCTCTGCGATATAAAAATCCGGCAACCTCAATCTTGACGCTTTGGCTCAGCTACAGCAAATTTCTTACAGTTTGATAAAACACATGGTGGGAAATGAACATTGCTTTTTTGAGAAGATTGCTAAAACCGGTATAGTGCGCGATTTGACTCACGTAGAGCTTTGAGTTTCTTGTGAGCGGGCCATTCAAATTCCTTGTAACCAATGTGAAATAAAAAGGTTAATATCTCCGTTGGTTTGAGTTGGTTTCAGTCATTTTCATTGCGCGAATCGTGCTCTGCGTGAAATTTTGGTTTAGAAACATGTTTCAGAATCCTTTAATTTGTACCTTGTCTAGTGGTCCATTCCAAAGTTGCTGGGATTCTGCAACATACATGCCTTGCAATAAAATTACTAAAATAATGAAAAAAATCAGATTTACAAAGGTGCTTTTCGTCTTGAATTCATAGATTATTGAGAGTAAAGATAAAGCTGGTACCGACGATCTGTTTATATTTCTAGAGTGAAGAAAGTTGCACAATCTTAGCGACTTTGGAATGTTCCTAGTTCCTTTTTGCAAAATGCAATCCATTTTCAGATGGGATCCCATTCAGCCCAAAAGGAACCACCGCCATTACAGTCTTGTCAAAATCTTACTTCTTCATAATTATCTAAAGAATCTCCCACAGTAGCAAATAGCTTCGGGTTATTTTAAATGAAAATAATCCTGTAAATTGTCATACTGTACTGATACTAAATATGTTTCAAAGAGGAGGAGAAGTTACACGATTTTGAAAGCACTGTAATCGCGTTGGTGCCTCCATCCAATTTTGGAACTACAATTCCTGGTTCATCCGTACAAACACTCATGTACATAGGGAAACTATTGGTACATACGTTGTTTCTAAACTAAGCCGGAAATTATGGTTCCAATATTTGGACTACATTTCGCAATTAGGAACTGCAATTTCTGGCTCATCCGTAAAAACACTCATGTGCATAGGGAAATTAATGGTGCATACCTACATTGTTTCTAAACTGAGCCAGAAATTGTAGTTCTGAAATCGGAAATGTAGTCCAGTCGATTTCCTCATAAATTTACATCATGATTCGACTTGTTGGACCACTTTTTCCAATTAGGAACCACCATTTCTGGCTCATCTATAAAAAATACGTATGTGCACACGGGCATTGATGGCACATGTGTTGTTTCTAAACTGAGCCAGGAATTTTAGTACCAAATAGCAAAATGTGGTGAAATTGCACTTCATTCTAACACACTATTTTTTAACTTTTTACCGGATTTTCCTTTGAGTTGTCCTTTATTCTTACACCTGAATAACTGATGCCCCAAAGAAAAATTGAGAAAAAAGTTTATCATTGGTGACTTAGCAATGATACCCGAAAGTAAGAAATAAAAGGGACTTCATTTTGTAATCAGGAGCCATTATTTTTTATTATTCCACGGAAAATGAAAAAGAATACTGTCCGCGAGAAAAATATGTAAAATATATTAAAATAACTTTGTTAAAATTTTAAAAAAGATAAAATTTTCCTGTTCAAATTATCACAATTTATAAAAACCCTGCAAATCGAAATGTAGATAAATGGTTCGGCCTCTAGTAAGTTAATTTTAGAGAAGTGATCCCTAATGGACTTTATTTCGCCATTAAGAACTACAATTTATGGCTCATCCGTAATAACACGTACGTGCATAGGAGAGAAAATGGCACATACTTTGAACTTAAACCGAGCCTGAGATTGTAACTCCTAATTGCAAAATGAAGTCCTAATAACAGTAGCACGACTTGTCACCAACGGATGTGTGATTTTCTACGGAGAAATGGATCCATCAGAAGATTTTTAAGGATAGATTCTTCAATCTCACTGAAAAATTAACGATCACAGAAAACTGGTTTCTGCTCATTTAAAATAATATCGATCTTTAATATTCGTTTTACATTTTAGTTGGGCCAATTTTCATGATTTTAAATGCGTTTTACCAACTTTGCTATTGAATACAGTCTACATTTCGAGAAAAGAGTTGGATCACATGTACGGAAAGTAAAGTGTCGCATTTCGGCAGCACTTTTCGGTTCTTGGCAACCTCACTCTAGGTTCTAGAAACCGTGACCTCGGATCATGGAACTAAGCTATGTCTATAGTTTTAGACATAACTCCGTCGCATGAGCCGAGGATATGGTTCCTAGAGCCGAAAGTGCGGTTAAACATGAACCGATTAGATCGGCAGATTTCCAGGGCGTGCTAGACCAAACTTTTTTCTCCGTCCATTTCACGGTGAATTTCAGCTGGAAATACGTTTGCGTTTCAGGTCAAATACGGGTGCAACAGCAGCGACAACGGAGTCCCCTTTGTCGATCCTCTCTAGTGTTCACTCATCCGACCATCAAGACCAACCAGCCACCAAACCTCTATTACCTCCCAAATCCTCCTACGTAGGTAGGTGTAACAACATCCATAGCAACACATCTTTTCAGAGCTGAGATAACTTCAGTCTTCGATTTTGAACAGGAAATATTCCATGCAAATCCTGTCGATTCTTAACCCGATCTGCACCATAAAATGCATCGAGTTTTGATCTCTTGTTGAGATGACGTAAGTTCCAACAATGAGCCCGCAGGTGAGACTTGGAAGTTGATTCTTCTCGCTGGACCATGAGGTGCGATCTTGGTAGACGGATGAACTCCATCAACGTGACATCCAACGCCAGAGGAAACCGCCTGCACCTCCTACAGCTAGTCGCGCTTTGTAGTTGTCCAGATTGCATACGCAAAAACGGAAGGCGCGAATAAGCAGCACTGAAAAATATTATCAAGGGGCGCACTCACTTCAAAAGAAGAATTTTATTGTGGTTTAACAGTTACTTCTCGCCTAAAATAATTTGTACTGACTTCAATGAAAAGCATTTTTTTATCGGAAGTTTTTTTCGATTAAAACGGTTCGGCGCTTTTGACAATTTTCACTTGACAAAAAAAACTTCATTGAAGTTGAAAATAATGTCTAAATGTCAAAGAATCAGAGAACTCCCATTAGATTAATAAATAATTTCTCAGAACCTTTTAAGGTATAATTTTTTTTAACTNGGGGGGGGGGGGGGTTAATCAAAAGAGATTTCTTGATGGGCTTGGAGGGCAAAGCGCATAAGTGCAGGTTTTGCTGTCTCGAGAAATACGGGTTTGAAGTGTCGAAATCACATGGATCTTTATGGCGGAGAGAAAGTTACAACTGGCTTTTTAATGCTTGAAAATTGGAATTTGGGGTCAAATTTCTAAGAGACTATGCATTCAGACGAGTTTTTCTTGGAATCATTAATTTGTGAATTTTTTCAAAAACTGCTTCCATGCGCTCTGTCCTTAACCCTTTATTGCATAGCGTTGCATGAAAGCAACAAATGTTTTTCAGCTTTATTTCTATGCTGGAGTATTAAATTGAATCAAAGTAAGAAATCATTTTTGGGGAACATTATAAGTCTGATCTCCTTGCTTAGAAATAACCATAATAATCGATTCCAACCGACACTAGTGTCAAAAAAATACTGTACAATGTAGTTTTTCTTTCCAAAATCAACGATTGGCTCACGCAACAAAGGGTTAAACACTTTTTTGAGTGAGCGAGTTTTGGAGCTTTGTTTTAAATGGAGGATAACGTTCTGTTGCAGGTGAGTATGTAGTTAAAAGCAAAGAAGAGCCTTTGCACAAGGAAGAGTTCATAGCGGAGATCAAGAGACTGCGGGAACGGTTGGTGACCCTGGAGTCGGAGAATGCGACCCTGAATGAAAAACTGAACCAGCAACAGTGGGAGGTGGAGCACCGACTCGCTGAAATCGAGATGCAGATTTGCGGAGCAAGTAGTGCTGACAGCAGCGGCGAAGAGAACAATAGAGAATCAATTATTTAACAATTACACAACTCGACTATTATCCTCTACCCAATCGCGTTCATTTTCAAAATACACTCTTCTGTTTTTATCGAGTATTCTTTTTAAACCATAGCCAAATTATTTCTATTCCAAACTAATTCGAGTGAAATAAACTTTTGCATTTATTCCTAAGATGAATTCTTAAAAGACCAAAAGAAAACCGTAAAATTATAGTTATGTAGTAAGTATTACTTAATGGGTCTCTCTTCTTACCGCTCAACCTTTTTCTGAATGGTAAATAAGAGTGTTCATTTTTCTTTAACATAGAATTAGGGAAGGTTACTAATTTTCTAATTTTTGATAAGTATTTTTAATTCACTCGAAGTAAAATAAATTGAAATCAGCCTTTTATACCTTTGAAATTTAAAGATTCTGGGATGTTATCTCCTAACTGATACTTGCCATCTGATTAAGTAAAATGCCTTCAAAATGTTCTCAATTCTACTGGCTCCAGATGAATTCAGACAAGATTTCACTCACTTGGTACAGCTTCCATTTATATTTCAAACTAGATTCTAACCATAACGTTTGACTAGATTGTTACCAATTGAAGTACATCGATAAATTTTTGTGAAGTAAGTCTGAGCCAATCTGTAAGAAGAATTTTCTTCCTCCTATCATGTAGACCAGGAATGAATGAAGGTTTTCATTGTGCTTGTCGATGTCATTTTAGACTTAGACGTGATTTATAGCTGAGGGTCACTTTCATAGTTGTTTCCTTTTTTTTGTTTTGTTTTGTTACAAAAGTAACTAAAATTGTAATTAGGTCGCATCTAGAAACAACATTTATTTAAGAGGCTCTTTTACGTGGATACACGCACAGTCCTTAAATACAAAAAGCAGATAGTTATTTTTTCCTGTTTTAGGCATACATAATTTACGAAAATCTTCTTTTGTTATTGGTCCTGTAAGTAACTCTTGACTCCTCTGACTGCCTGAGATTCTCTTGTATTTCGACGGATCAGGATCCAATGTTTTGACACAAAATTTAGTAGTTATTTGTGAAGGTAACTTATTTATTTCATTTTAGATGATTTATGAAATGAACGGCTTTTAAACGCAAAATCCATTATTGCCAAAAGCGTTGGCTTGTGACCATTAAACCATTACTGGGTTGTCTTTCTTTTTGTTTTTTCTTCGTTTTCCGTTTTGTTTTATTTTGTTGTTGAGAGCTTTTATGGATAGTGACCAAATGAAGAGTACCTAGCTGTATGGGGGAATGAAATGGTTGTAGAAAAGCGACTAATAAACGGCGGCACAGGCAAGTCTTTAGCCTTCTATGAAGTATCAATCAACTCCTCAAATTGGAATATGGGGAATCAAGATGCACTGGCAATTAAATCACAGACTTACTTTCTATCCTGCTGCACACATGATGAGCGATTTTGCGCAATGATACCAAACTGCTTAAACTGTCAGAATAAGCGGTCAATTAAATTATATTTATTTCTCTAGTCTACATGCCCCTTTTATTTTGTTATTGTCATAAGAACTGTGTACAGAAATATTTAATTTGGAATTGGAATCAAATTTTATTTTGATACTTAAATGAAATATTCATCCGACTATGAAGAGGTAATTATAGAGGAGAAACAGAGTTTCCATTAGTCAAGCACTTGACTGTTTGAGATGGACTACAGCTAAAAGGAATTCAAAAACTAGATTGTACCCTGAATCAAATTTGCTCCATCCCATCAAAGAGGCATGGCACATAAGATCATATTGTTTTCGTATAGTTACTTTCCTAAATACATAAGGATTCCTTCTGGGGGTTTAAAAATACGATTATTTCTTCAGCGCAAAGTTCAATTTTACGAGCATCAAATAAAATTGGTGACAAAAAACTTTTTCCAGGAACTACTGACAGGTGAATCTACTGGTGCAGAGTACCTAAAGAAAAACAAGAATATTCTAGGAATGCCTGGAAATTCTGATTTTAATTTGAGCCTCTCATTTCCTCCTTTTCTCTCGCTCTAGTGGTATGCAATGATGATAAAATATGAAATAGGTATAGTTGGTTGGTTATGAATATAGCTTTTTAGTGTACAAAATGGTAAATCATTTCATGTCTTTCTCTAGTTTGTGATCATTCCTAAGGTAATTATGGCTTTCAATGGATGAATAAAAGGCACACTTGAAATCACTAATTCTGAGAGCCAAAATAGGGAAAAATGAAATTAAGACGTAAAACAGGTTTACAATAAAATGCTGTCAGTTTTAAAGAAAACTTATTGGATTTTAGTAAAAAACCAATAAAAAAAATTGACTAGACTCTGTTGCTGAATGGCTCACAGGTTTCCTCTCTATGTGACAAAGGAAATATCCATAGAGCAGATGGGAAACATAGCCTTAACCATTGGAAAATTCACTTCAGTTCCGATCACACACAAACTTAGATTTTAATGTAAGAATTACTGTGCCGCAGAAATTTTCACGTTTTGAATACTACAAATCTTCACCAAATCGCCATGCTTATCACTTGCTTGCTTCTCCTTCGATATAGAGGAAAAACAGGTAGACAAGTTTGGCAAAACTGTTCAAATAGCAGGGTATATTGGACAGCTGACGGCAGTCTCCAATCCTTTTTGAAATGTCGAGAAGTATTATTGTTCACAAAAATGAAAGTTTTGTTACTGGACTTTTAATTCACACGGTGTTCGCAGTTTATCAGATACAAAAAAAGTTCACTGGAAAAATGTGTTTAGTAATTTTCATCACATGTTTTAAATAAAAAAAAACCATTTGCCATGAGAATCATGTTATGTGTGATTTACCAGCAGGTACCTTTTATCAGTGTAAAAACACAATGGTTGACCATTTGAAAATATCAATCCAGGATGTGACGACATCCATCCCATAATTTCAAATGTTCGTAAAAAAATATTGGTGTAAGCCATCACAAACAAATGCTCTTCATAAATGATTAAGTTTGTACATAATGTAAAGTATGATTTGTAATAAAGCAAATTTTGTTGATATTAACTTGTCAAATTTGATTCAACCATCCTCAACTCTGAGATTGCATCCGAAAATTGAAATCGCCAGATTTTCAGCAGAATGATAAAAAAAATTTCAATGATTTCCAGTTTTGCAAATCAAAGATTTGCGGTTATAGGACATTTTTGCAACGATTTTTCATTCGCGCACCTGTTTTTTCCAGTAGTGTACGTCCACGCTTTTTTTCGGCAGGGGAGTTTCGGTCCACTTACCAATTAAGACCCAAATTAAAATTCCACATGTAAATACAAGCGACAATCCTTCATTTTCATCGTTCGTTTTTTTTTCGTCTAACGGAAAAAAATATATAATTGAGATTTTTGATAAAAATGGAGGAGTGTCAATTCTATGTGGGAAAATTCACTAAAACTCTCTACACCGCTTTGATGCAACAGGAGTTAATTATTTTTCAAGAATATCTCATCTTGCACTACCTGAACCTGATAAACCTTTTGATTTGCCTCAGCTAAAGGCTCCTAGATTTCTCCTGTTTCCGATAACTTCGCGACGGCGCGATATAACATGGACTAAATTTTTCGGGTCAAAATGGAAATTTCGCCGATAGGGTCGGAACCAAGTCAGCTCGCTTGGAATCGACCCTTGACCGATTTCTGTATCGAATGTGAGGTTTTTTTCCAAACATTATTCTGCTTTCATTTCTCTTAATTTGGCCGATTTTTGGGTTTAGAATGATTCTTTAGACTCATGCGCAGGGGCTATCGTCCGTTTTTTGCTGAAAACTCAAAATCTGCCGAGATTTTTTATCTAAAAGATAAAAAAAAGGCGACAAAATTGTATCCAAAAATGGTTTGCAGGGGGCGANACGGCAATACATGAGCTGCCAACAAGTAACCTCTCTGAAACAACAAAAATTGGATGGGGGTTTTTNTTTTTTTTTTTTTTTTTTTTTTTTCGATTTCATGGATTAAAAAGATGGAAAAACGACGCACACAAAGTGAAAATTTGTTCATCTCTCATAGTTATCGCAGATTGACATCAGTGTTCCTGGGTGCTCCGTGTGCGAGATACGTACGCTCTACCGCTCTCCGTGCTGCTATTGGCTGAGCGTCAATCTGTGACGTCACGCGTACGGATATTTTAAGATAGGGAAGCGTTTTCCCATAAGGTTTTTGTCCGTACGCGGTCCGTGTCGGTATAGGGAATGTCCGCGCGGCACGGATAAATCCGTACGCCTGGCATCACTGGTTGACATTAACATCGATCTGCGTAGTAATGAACCCAAATTGACGGTGAAACTACGAGGCCACGTATCTCAGTTTGTAACGTTGCAGACTTCCTGTCATACATTATTTTATCATGAAAACCATTCAACGTCAATTTTTTAAAACCCCGGGATTTTTCGTCGGCGTGAAGAAAAAACTGTGTGGAAAATCCAAGGAATGAAATTGCTTCACTCTCCGCCAAAAAGTAAAATCGGAGCGGAGATTTTAGAATACCGCAAACGCACAGTTCCGATTCTCGGCGAGACTTCCGAAGCCGAGAAACAGTCAAAATCTGGTCAAAAACAAGCTTTTCTGACCACTTTTTGACTCGTTCTCTAGAGCGTTTCAGCGGATAGCTCAAAGCGAGGGACTTGCGCAGCTTTTCCGACTGGAAAATCGCACTCAGCGGGTCATTTCCAATCGGCCTAAGTTGCTTTCGGCTCGTTCGGCGAACTATCGATTTTGACGCTAAAATTTTAGTCCACGTAACGCCTGTAAATTTTCCTTGATTTTGGAGTGAGAAAAACAATTCGAGATTTCAGTCGCATCCTACGTATTTGGAGGCGTAGAATTGATTCCGCACGGTCCCGACTCTCGCCGAGACTTCCTGGGCCGAGTTACAGTCAAAAACTGGTCAAACACGAGCTTTTCAGACCAATTTTTTACTCTTTCTCTGGAGCCTGTTCAGCGGATAGCTCGAAGCGAGGGACTCGAGGAGTTTTTCCGACTGGAAAATCCTACTCAGCGGGTCATTTCAAACGGCCTAACTTGCTTTCGGCTCGATCGGTGAACTTTCCATTTTGACGCTTAAAATTCGGTTAATGTAAGGCCTGTCGATTTTACTCGATTTTGGACTGATAAAAAAAAAACCAAGATTGCAGTCGCATCCTACGAATTTGGAGGCGTAGAATCGATTCCGTACGGTCTCGACTCTCGGCGAGACTTCCTGAGCCGCGAAACAGTCAATAACTGGTCAAACACGAGCTTTCAGACCAATTTTTGACTCTTTCTCTGGAACGTGTACAGCGGATAACTCGAACAGAGGGACTCACGGAGCTTTTCCGAATGGAAAATCGAACTCAGCGGGTCATTTCCAATCGGCCAAGCTTGCTGTCGGCTCGATCGGCGAACTTTTGATTTCGATGCAATTAGTTTGCAATTAGTTTTGATGCAATTTAGTCCATGTACCGCCAGTTTTAATTTCAAGTAAAACTAGTCTTGATGCATATTCCGTGAAAAATTCGCTCCTAAATTCCAACTTTTAAGCATCAAAATGTCATTTTGAACTTTTATTCCCCCATAAGGATTCATGTATAATTTCGTAACTTCAAACACGTATTGCTCGAAATAGGAGAAACTGCACTTTAGCGCCATGTGCGCCTTGTCCTCCAAGCCTATCGATTATCTCATGACGTTGACTCCTTTGGATCTGAGCTCGCTTGGAATTGACCCGCTGAGTTCGATTATCGAGTTGGAAAAGCTCCGCGAGTCCCTCGCTTTGAGCTATCCGCTGAAAACGATCCAGAGAAACAGGCAAAAAGTGGTCAGTAAAGCTCCTTTTTTACCAGCTTTTGACATTTTCTCGACTCAGGAAGCCTCGCCGAGGGTCGGGAGCGTGCGAAATCGATTCTACGCCACCGACTACATAGGATGCGACTTAAATCTTGAAATGTTTTTCTCAGTCCCAAATCGAGAAAAATCTACAGGGGTACGAACCACGGACTAAATATTAGGGGTCAAAATTGAAAGTGCGCCGATCAGGCTGAAACCAAGGAAGCTCGCTTGGAATTGACCCACTAAGTGCGATTCTCCAGTCTGAAAAGCTCCGTGAGTCCCTCGCTTCGGGCTCTCCGCTGAAAACGCTCTAGACATAGAGTCAAAAATTGGTCAGAAAAGCTCCTTTTTTACCTGTTTTTGACCGTTTCTTAGCTCAGGGAGCCTCGCCGAGTGTCGGGACCGTGCGAAATTAATTCTTCGCCTTCAACTACGTAGGATGCGACTAAAATCTCGAAATTTTTTTCTCAGTCCCAAATCGAAAAAAATCGACAGGGGTTACATGGACTAAATTTTTAGCGTCAAAATCAAAAGTTCGCTGATCAGGCCGAAACCAAGTAAGTTCGCTTGGAATTGACCCGCCGAGTGCGATTTTCCAGTCGGAATAGCTCCGCAAGTCCCTTGCTTCGAGCTAGCCGCTGAAAACGCTCCAGAGAAAGAGTAAAAAATTGGTCAGAAAAGCTCCTTTTTTACCTGTTTTTGACGGTTTCTCGATTCAGGAAGCCTCGCCAAGAGTCGGGACCGTGCAGAATCGATTCTACGCCTCCAAATACGTAGGATGCGACTGAAATCTCGGATCTTTTTTCTCAGTCCAAAATCGAGTAAATTCGACAGGCGTTACATTAACTAAATTTTTAGCTTCAAAATCGAAAGTTCGCCGATTCAGCCGAGAGCAAGCTTGGCCGCTTGGAAATGACCCGCTGAGTGCGATTTTCCAGTCGCAAAAGCTCCGCGAGTCCCTTGCTTCGAGCTATTCCCTGAACACGCTCCAGAGAAAGAGTAAAAAATTGGTCTGAAAAGCTCGTGTTTGACCAGTTTTTGTCTGTTCCTAGGCTCCGGAAGTCTCGCCGAGAGTCGAGACCGTGCGGAATCGATTCTACGCCTCCGAATAATTAGGATGCGACTGAAATCTTGAAATTTCCTTCTCAGTCCTAGATCGAGAAAAATCGACAGCGTCAAAATCGATCCAAAGGAGTAATCGTCACGAGATAATCGATAGGCTTCGAGGACAAGGCGCACATGTGCAGTTTCTCCTATTCCGAGAATTCGTGTTTGAAGTTTCGAAATTATACATGAATACTTATGGCGGAATAAAAGTTCAAACTGACATTTGATGCTTAAAAATTGGAATTTGGGAGCGAATTTTTCACGGAATATGCATCAAGACTAGTTTTACTTGAAATTAAAACTGTCGGTACGTGGACTAAATTTTTAGCTTCAAAATCGAAAGTTCGCCGATTCAGCCGAGAGCAAGCTTGGCCGATCGGAAATGACCTGCTGAGTGCGATTTTCCAGTCAGAAAAGCTCCACGAGTACCTCGCATAGAGCTATCCGCTTAAAACGCTCTAGAGAACGAGTCAAAAAGTGGTCAGAAAAGCTTGTTTTTGACCAGATTTTGACTGTTTCTCGGCTTCGGAAGTCTTGCCGAGAATCGGAACTGTGCGTTTGCGGTATTCTAAAATCTCCGCTCCCATTTTACTTTTTGGCGGAGAGCGAAGCAAATTCATTCCTTGGATTTTCCACACAGTTTTCTTCACGCAGACGAAAAATCCCGGGGTTTTAAAAAATTGACGTTGAATGGTGTTCATGATAAAATAATGTATGACAGGAAGTCTGCAACGTTACAAACTGAGATACGTAACCTCGTAGTTTCACCGTCTATTTGGGTTCGTTACTACGCAGATCGATGTTAATGTCAATCTACGATAACTATGAGAGATGAACAAATTTTCACTTTGTGTGCGTCGTTTTTCCATCTTTTTAATCCATGAAATCGAAAAAAAAAAAAAAAAAAAACATTTCCCATCCAATTTTTGTTGTTACAGAGAGGTTACTTGTTGGCAGCTCATGTTTTGCCGTTACGCATAAAATCAACCACGTTTAATAGAGATACATCCAGTCCCATTCCAGTTTGGACCAGGTTTCAGGTTTGAAGTTTCATTTATTCATAAAACTTAGGTAATGTTAAATGTGAAGTTTAACGTGCTT